CAGTGCTGATGGCTTTGTCTGAAGCTGATAGATATATGATCATGTCCAAATGGGGGTCCGGTTTGGCTAACAAAGGTGGGGCTGCAAGTATTGTCTTGAAGTTTTGGAAAGCCGCTTCACATTCGTCAGTCCACTTAAATTTGGTGGTTTTCTTCAGTAGAGACATGATGGGTCTAGATTTGTCCGCCATGCAAGACAGGAAATGAGCCAGGGAGGCGATGCGTCCGGCCAAATGTTGTACTTCTTTTACATTGTGAGGGCTTCTCATATTGATGATGGCTTGGCATTTGTCGGGGTTAGCTTCTATACCTCTCTTTGATAACATGAAACCTAGGAATTTTCCACCGGCTACCCCGAAGGCACATTTGGTGGGGTTTAATCGCATGTGATGTCTCCTTACCTCGTCAAAAATCGTGCGGAGGTCTTTCAGGTGGTCGGCGGTAGTGTTGGACTTAATCACCATGTCGTCCACATAAACTTCCAAACACTTTCCGATCTGCCGATGGAAGATTTTGTCCATGAGACGCTGATAGGTTGCCCCCGCATTTCTTAAGCCGAATGGCATTACCCTGTAACAAAAATTGGCCGAATCTGTGATGAACGTGGTCTTTGCTTCGTCAGGGGGGGGGGGGTACATAGGTATTTGATTGTACCCCGAATAGGCGTCCAAGAAGCTCAATCTCTGATGGCCGGCGGCTCCGTCGACTAATGCATCGATGTGGGGTAGAGGGTAAGCGTCTTTTGGGCATGCTTTGTTCAGATTTGTGTAGTCGGTACAGATCCGCCACTTCCCGTTCAACTTCTTAACCATCACTACATTGGCCAACCAAGTGGAATACTTAACTTCTCTTATGAATCCTGCTTGAAGCAGCTTGGTTGTTTCTTCCTTTATCGCTTGAGCTCTCTCGCCACCCATCTTTATTTTCTTTTGGGCAACGGGTTTGGCGTCTCGGCATACCGAGAGTCGGTGGCAATGGAAACTCGGATCGATGCCGGGCATGTCTGCTGCCGTCCACGCAAATAAGTCTGAATACTTCCATAAGACTTGTTTAATGTCTCTTGCGTCTGTTGCGGATAATTGAGAACTCAAGAAGGTAACTTGCTCTTCATTTTTCCCTAATTGGAAAGGTACTGTTGTTTCAATAGGTTCGACCCTATCTTCATCTTCTATTCTCGGGTCAAGTTCTAGACCTTCAACCAACTTTTGTCGGATGTCGCCTATAACATTAACATCTCGCCCCAGCTTTGGGGTTGGTTGTACCTTTAAGCTAGCAAAGTAACACTCGTGCGCTGTCTTCTGGTCGGCTTGGACAGTGATGACGGTCCCTTCTTCCGACGGAAACTTCATAGCCAAATGTGGGGTGGATGCGATGGCTCAGAGCTTGTTTAGAGAGGGTCTGCCCAGCAAAATGTTATACGAGGTATTCGCGTTCACCACCACATAACGCACCTTGATCCGTCTACATTGGTTTTCCCCAAAGTAGGTATACAAGTCTATTATCCCTCGAGTGTCCACCCGTTCACCCAAGAATCCGACCAAGGGTTCATCGTATGGTGTCAATTCTTGCTCCGGAATGCCCAATTGCTCGAAAGTCTTCCAGTACAAGATATCCGCCGAACTACCCTGATCGACCAGAGTTTTTTTCACAATGCAATTATTGATCTCTACACTGATCACCATGGGATCATCTTGCACCGGGTCAATGCCTTGAAAATCTTGGTTAGTGAACGTGATAGGGAGCATACGAATGGGGGATGCCCTTCCTATGGCGTTGACCGACTTGATGGCCCTCAAATGCCTCTTCCAGGCTGAAGACGAGCTTCCTACTCCCGCGAAGCCTCCGGCGATGGTGTTTATCACTCTTCTAGGCTGATTACGATCTCGCTGCTCATTTCTATCTTGGGACCTGCTACGCTCTCGGGATCGATTCCTCGGAGGTGCCCGATCTTGGTTGTCCCTTCTGTATTCCCCCCTTCCAGGGCGGGGATCGCTCCTTCGGTTGTCTGTCGACCGAACAAAGTTCCCTCTATTCTGGTGGAACTGGCATGCTTTTGTCTTATCGACGCGCAGTGGGGTTATTGCTCTCCGGGGGACGGACAAGACTTCAGTGGCCAGGGCTCGTTCCAACACCTTAGCCCTGCTGGTGTTGAGTGGCGTGTACTGCATGTACCTCGGCCCCCTATTACTCTTGTCACGATCTGGCATGTCTCTAGGGTGTGGTCTGGGTGGTTCCTTGTCACTTTCTTTCTTTGTGGGAAATAGGTCGGATCGATTTTGGCTTCAGAATTCGGCGTGTTCCTCCATCTGCATATATTTTGTGGCTCTCTGTCGTAGGTCATCTAGGTCTCGGGGCGGTTTCTTGCATAGGCTGTTGACAAAGGGCCCAGGTCGTAGCACCGTGGTCAAGTGATGCATTGCCACGACCGGGTCCAGATTCTGAATGGATAACATCATCTTTCCGAACCTCTCCATGAAAGTTCTCAAAGGTTCTTTCTTTTCTTGGCGTATATTGACCAAAGCGATGGAGGTGAGCTGATGAGGTCGGCTGGTGGCAAACTGTATCACGAACCGTGAAGATAGGGATGCGAAGGAGTCTACCTATCCGGGTGGAAGTCTTGTGAACCAGTTAAGCGCCGGTCCTTTTAGCGAGGTGGGGAAGACCTTGCAGAGGATAGCATCGCCATCAGTGTACAAGCTAACCTGAGTAACGAACGCATCAAGGTGCTCTTCCGGATCGGCAGTGCCGTCATACTTTTCTAGGGCCAGGTTTTTCCAGTTGTCGGGGAGACGGGCTCCGACAATGTCTGGGGTGAAGGGGGTCCTTCCCTGTCGCCGCTGCTGGTCGAGAGTAGTAGTCGTTACTCCTGCTGTAAGCCTAGGGTCCCTTGTTTCCTTGTACCATCCGGATGATTCTTCCTGATCCCGGGTTGATTGGGTGTTGTGGATATCATGGGTTGGACGCCATGACCGGTTGTCACTTTTGAGCTTGGCATTTTCCCTTCTTAGGACCGACAGCTCAAGAGTGTCCTTTTCTCGAAGTCTTTTTAGTTCCATCATTTCGGCCTTCAGTTGCTCAATGGCTGACGACGGGTTAGGTTGTTGGGACCGGTCCACATATGATTCTTCCATCCTGTCTTCATTCAGGTTAGTTTGACGTCTGGTGGTATCTCGAGGCATCCCGAAAAGGTAGTCGGTTGCATTCTCCTGCTGACTCCTTGTTGTTACCATCTTGCTTCAGGGTCGAGAACCGTTTTGGTTTTCGGCCCCACGATGGGCGCCAAAATGTTCCTGCGTAGAAACACTCCTCTTGTCGCTCCTTTTCCTTGATCTTCTAAGTCTTCAGGCCGACCGAATACTGTCTCTGAGGGGCGGGGAGGGTACCTGCAAAGGCACTCCGACGATCAAGTAAGTATTCGGTATAGAACAAATAATGCTTTTATATGGAATAAATCATACCTCATTTATGTCCCATCACCTGTGTATTTATAGTGACATGTTTGGGCCTTGGTGGACCTTCTGTCTTGGGGGATGGGTAATACTGGGATTAACCTTAATCTCTCTTAATTATGCATGGTAACCATTGTATAATGAATAGCTAATTTGCCACGTGTCTACTATGAATTGTCCTTCTTTCAATTCTTCGGCCAAACCTTAGGCCGAAGGGGTATTCGGCCCATCCATAGGCCGAAGGGGTATTCGGCATGACCAGAGGCCGAAGGGGTCTTCGGCTTGGCCAGGGACCGAAGGGGTCTTCGGCCTGGCCTGGAGCCGAAGAGGTATTCGGCCTGGTCTGGAACTGAAGAGGTATTCGGCCTGGTCTAGAACTGAAGAGGTATTCGGCCTGGTCTAGAACCGAAGAGGTATTCGGCCTGGTCTAGAACCGAAAAGGTATTCGGCCTGGTCTGGAACCGAAGAGGTGTCTTATGCGACTTTAATTGTTTCCTTGTTCCCCAAAGAAAAGCCCGGTATTGCGTCGGCTCGGCCCAATGCCGAAGAGGGATTCGGTTGAGTCTACGGCCGAAGGAGTGATGTCTTCGGTGTTGGTGGTTGTTTCGGCCTATAGGCTGGCCGAAGAGGTGCCTAGTAGTACACAAATCCTATCACCGTTATTGTAATTTTTATAGATAAAAAGACTTTGAAAAAAAAATGTGGGATAGACAAAGAATTAGAATTAGAATTAGAATTAGAATTAGGATCTAAGGTGAAGATTGTCTAATCCTTATCTCTATTTGATATCTAATTACTAATGCGGGTTGAATAATGGGGTCTCAACAATCAATTCACATCTAGGGCTGGATATTTGGTGTGTGGACAAATGTTGGTTTAATAACAGAGATCTTGGGACAATAATAGAATGAGTTTAAAACCTAATTCAACCCTACAAAACTTAACTTGTAAATTGATAACTGCCCCAATTTTTATAACCACTACTTGGTAGTTTGTAGTTGATGTGGGACTCTTAACACCCCTCCTCACTCTAGGCTAAACATATGAAGTGTGGACCAATGCGGGTGAAATAAAATGGATCTCATCCCCCCAAGTGACTCCTAGGATTTAACATTGAGACTATGGAACCAATCTAGAATTTAGACATTTGGGCTAACTCAATGTCACAAACCTGATTTGTAAGGTGAGAACCGTTAAAGTCCTATAAGCACTACCTAGACCATATCATTAGTTGTAATGGGACTCTTAAGACCCCTTCTTGAAGTGTGGATTAATGTGGGTGTAATAAAAGTGATCTCAACAAGAATAGAGTAGGTGGAACATGAAGGACTTGAGAGAGATATAAAATAGAGAAATATATAATGCGTTGTTGTGTATAAGCTGCAATACCAAACCCACTACGGCTACCATTTTATGACACACACTATTGACGCCATGGTGTAATTATACTAGTTCATTCTATTGATATAATATAATGCTGAATACCTTTCTATGCGATTTGGAGTGCTTTTAAGCATGATATTGACATTTGTTTTTGTTTTTTTAATGTCAGATTTTAGATTTAGTTCCCATTCTTGCTCATATGTATTTTCAAGAAAAGCTTCCAGTGAATTTGTCACATGTTCAAGCTTCTGTGTTGCTCTGCATTGGTCTGCAAAATCAGAACATTTCGTACATTCAGGTCTGGTTAACAACTTACTATGTTGTTTACTTGCAATTACTATCAAATGTCTTGGTAGAACCTAATGACTTGTACATGCAACCAATAAAAACAAGCATATGTAAATCTCTTGAATTGTCTACATTATTTTCATTATTATTTTGAAGTTTGATATCCTATATTACTTGGTTCAGTTTTAGATGTATGAGTAGATCCCTTTTTGTTCTTGTCATGATGTAAAAAAAATCCCATTTAATGTCTTCTATTGCTTTTTAAAATGATGTTGGAATATATTTTCTAATGAGTTTTCATCTTATAGGGACAAATGAAGTTGGAAAGACAACAAATATTGTCTCAAATTTTAAAGATTATGAAAAAGTTTTACAAATATCTTTATGGCATTGAATTCAAGGAAACTGAATGGCGATCGAAAGAAGTAAGCTTTTGAATGATTAATTAACTTTGTTGCTGAAACTCATAGCAAGTATGTTTATTGAATTTTTGTTTTGGACTATTTTATCTTCAGATTGTCATGGAACCCCATGTATCTTTGGATGAAGATCACATTGCAGCTAAACAAGTTGAGGTATATATTTTATTTTACTTATAATCTAACCAATATCCCTATTCTTTCCTGTTTCTAGCATCACTTTTTATTAACTATTATATCAAATGATTTTCTGTATAGGATGACATGAAGTCAAAAGCGGAAGCACCCGCACCCTTCACTCTTGAATTGCTTCAACAATATGTCATTGATGATGGGGGATCTGATTTTGAGACCGAGTTAAAAGATAATGGTGAAAAAATATCCACGACTGGTCTTATTAGTTTAGTGATGTCTAGAAAGAATGGTGTTAAGACTGTAAAAAATGAAAAGAAGCGACGCAAAGACAATCTCAACCATAAATTAAGCAAAAGGAAAAGATCTTAACTAAGATCCGTTAGAGGAAAAAATGGATTGTATATTGAGTTTTTGTTTTTTGTTTTAGGTTAAAATACAAATGATATTTATATTGAACATATAATCAAATTGTAGTGTTATACTTGCAAATAGAGTTGTGTCGATATCTCGATTCACATAGGCCGCCAACAAATGTGTTGGACTTTGTTGGCTTTGAAAATAAATTGATCAACAAAATTGTTGGTTTGTCTTGGTCTACGGATTGATAGGTTATATAACTTAGAAAAAAATAATTAATTGGAAAATAACGATTTTTTTTATTTATTATTAAGACATTATGCTTGTTGCAGATGACAATTAGTGAACATTGGTTCATAAAAATCAAAGTTGAAAATTTCAAGTAAACATAGTTAACTTTTAATATTTTTGTCTTTTCTAATTTTTTGTATAGCTCTTGATTAACATGAGGTAGTTAGCAAATTAAGAGTTAATACGTTTCTTCAATTTTGCAAATGAATAATGTTCTTTAAAGAAAAATAGAGCATAAACTCTTATTAGTGTAAATGAATAATTTTTTGCACGAATGAAATAATATATTAACAATTCTGTTATAAATTTATTTTAAAATAAAATAATATATAGATAAATAATTTATGGTATTATTGACTATTTTAAAAATAAAAATAGAGCATAAATGTGATTGTATAATTTGCACTTGAGCAGTGTAATACTTATGATAATAGTAGAATGTTTCTATTCATATTCATAATTATATATATGTGTGTGTTTAATTTATATTTAGTTGCAGCTTATTTACTAATTTTTTGCTTTAATTTTGATATATATTTTTTATATCATATATATATATATATATATATATTATCAATTTATTATGTTTGATAAATAATATTTTTATATAAACATGTTTATTTTATATTATCATAATATTATAATAATTATTAGAAATTGTTAAAATATTTTAATGTAATTATTTTCATTCATTTTGATATATATTGACAATATATTCTCATTTTGAAATCAAATCATATAATATTACTAATATATTATAAGGGAAGAGAGTTGAAACTTTTGAAGGAAAGAGAGCTGATGTAGAACCTTTTAATAAAATATTTTAATCTAAATTTATTTATTTATTTATATTGAGTTTTTGTGACACCTTCTATCCCGCATACTATAACATATAGATAATAAAATTTGAATAACATAATTTTTCGTAATTGAAATACCAAACGTGTTTAGATAGAGAGTACCACATACATAACTTAAACAAATAACTTAATCAGTGGAAATTAAAAAGAAATGATGCTAATGTTTCCAAAATAATTTAATAAAAAAAATAACATCCTAATCTAATCTTATCTATGCCCTAATGTCACATGTCCTATCAGAGCAAAGTCCAACAACATAGAAGCCTAAGCTTCATCACCAACATCCTCAGCCTCATGCTATAATCACCTGTATAACAGTCAAAGGAAAATAACACAAAATAAAAGGGAGTGAGAAACATCTCACTCTGGCTCACGGTGTAGGAATATACATCGGATTGCCAAACACAAACAAGACATGTATAGCATAGATAGATCAATAATCATCACATCCCACTCATCCAAGACATAGTTTTGATTCTCTTGACACTCGCATGACTCGTCTTGAGGAGGAAGTAAAATCTCTTAAACGCCCTTCCGAGTAGCTAGTTGACTGTGATTCTGATAGTTGTTCTTTTAGTTTATCTTATGTTTTGAACTATTTTTAATCAATTTCTGAACTTTTTGATTAGTATGTTCTTGGATAATTCTGCACGTTTGACTCTGACTATTTTACTATAAGGACATATTTCACTTCTGTTCTGAATGGTGTTTGTTTATCTTATTCTATTTCTTTTTTATATATTGTCTCATTCCTTTTGATGTTTCCAAAGGGGGAGAGGAAAGGAAAGAATAAAAAGGGATAATTTATATTCCTGATAAAAAAAATGAATATTTTGAATTAAACAATTTAACCTGATCACTACAACTGTCTATTTATATTCAAATCTTTTTATAATATAAAATTAACATCAAACAATGATTTATTAAGGGGGAGACTAAGGGGGAGTGATCAATATACACTGTTTTATGTTTCTTTCCATTTACAGTATGTTGTCATCATCAAAAAGGGGGAGAATGTGGAAGAACGTATGTAAAGGATTTTGATGATGCCAAAGAAATTGTAGAAAACAAGAAGTCAAGTTTAAGCAAGGTGATCAAGAAACAAAAATCTCAAAGTATTTTAGATAAGTCTTGTCAACCTAGCTTTATATGTAAAAAGAAATCTTTAGAAATATTGCATAAGATTCTTGGCCATTTAAAATAAAGAATTTCAAGAAAACCCAAATATAATCTTTTATATTAATAAGGTTTTGAAAATATAAGTTTTCTATATTTTAAGAAGGTAATTATTGTTTTAAGAATCTGGTAATCGATTACCAGTACATGTAATCGATTACCAGAGGATGAAACTCATATGTTCAAAATTTACTTATTAAAACGTGCTCTGGTAATCGATTACCCATTCCCTGTAATCGATTACCAGAAGATAAAGGATACATGGAAACCAGAATATTCCCATCCCAATGCCCGAAGTATGATTTGTGTGGATGATGCTGACATGACTGGACGATTATTGGCTGGATCAATTAAATTTGATTATCGCATCATGCATTATATAATTGTTCGGGTACTGCTTCCCCGCACGACTAACCTTGCACAGGCTTTAGAGGAGGACTTAATCTTGATATGGGCTCTAATCACTGGCTGGGAGTTTAGATGGGCTCATCTGATTAGGAGTCGTATGAAAAAGGCCTTGCGGGTTAATGCTTCTCTTCCATACCCATATTTTGTAACTACTATTTTGGAACATTTTAATGTTCCTCTGGAAGATGAAACATGGGTTCCAGTTAAGAGGTTCTTTAAGATCGGGGCATCTGCAATTGCTTCTTTTGGGTACAAGAAAATACTCGAAAACACCTGGGTTAGGAAGCGGGATTTTCAAGCAGTTGACACTGATGATAGAACTCCGTCACCACCTCCTCAAGATCCTTCATCAGCACTTCTATCGAATGTTCTCAATGAAATTAGAGATCTCCGTTTTTATGTTGGTGAACGTTTTGATTCTCTTGACACTCGCATGACTCGTCTTGAGGAGGAAGTAAAATCTCTTAAACGCCCTTCCGAGTAGCTAGTTGACTGTGATTCTGATAGTTGTTCTTTTAGTTTATCTTATGTTTTGAACTATTTTTAATCAATTTCTGAACTTTTTGATTAGTATGTTCTTGGATAATTCTGCACGTTTGACTCTGACTATTTTACTATAAGGACATATTTCACTTCTGTTCTGAATGGTGTTTGTTTATCTTATTCTATTTCTTTTTTATATATTGTCTCATTCCTTTTGATGTTTCCAAAGGGGGAGAGGAAAGGAAAGATGAGTTGCACCAGAATCAAACAGTACAACAAAAAGGAGTCTCAACTATGAAACGAGCACCTTGTATCAAATTTTCTGACTGAGCAGCTTCAGCACCACTAAGAGAAAATACTTGCCCTACAGCCTTTGGACGCTCAGCTTGCGAACCCGATCCAGTAACACGTGATCTTGGCGGTTCAGGACATTGGGTGCTAATGTGACCCTTACCATTGCAGTTGAAGCAAGTAACCTCCTTGTCACGAGACTGGAACTGATTATGACCAGCACGTCCACACTTCCAGCATTTACCTGAAGGAGTTGACACAGACCCTCCAACACTTCTAGTAGCACTAACAATGGATCCTCCAGTAAATAACTTGCTTCCACTAGCAACAGCTTTACTCTCTTGGAATCTAGCAGGAGAAGAGTAAGGCTTACTCCTACTCGAAGCATCAAAAATTGCAGCACGCATAAGACCTTCAGCTCCCTTATAGAAAGTAGCACGTGCACGGTTGTCACGGTCAAAGATGCGACACTTGTTCACTAAGGTTTGAAAATGGTAGATCTCCAGATAGTTGATCGTTGTCTTCACTTCGGGACGTAATCCATTCACAAACTTAATGCATTTAGCACGTTCACCACCCTCACACCATGATAGTGGGAACAGTAACGAACCAATGAGTCAAACTTGGCAGCATACTCTGTTACTGTATTATTCTCTTGCTTCATTTCAAGGAACTCCAATTCTTTCTGACTCCTCACGTCATCCGGGAAATACTTCTCAAGGAAGACCCTCTTGAAGTTGTCCCAATTCAAGTGCACCCCTCCATCAATCATCCTCTGAAGTGCTCATTCCCACCAAAAGTGGGCATCAGCAGTCAACATGAAGGTGGCCAACCTCACCAACTGAGCGAGAGGACACTCCATGACATTGAAGATCTTCTCGATCTCCGTCAGCATCTAGACATCATATCCACCTTTGAAGGTAGGTGGATGATTTCGCTAAAATTGCTTCAACCAGTTAGGAGCGCCTCCAGCCCTATCGTTATTACTCATAGCTTGTGATAACGCTTGAAGGGCATCAGCAATCGCACGATCATTTCTACCAGCCATAATCTAAGAAAATAGTACACATAATAACATAAATAATAAACATAATCAATCATCACACTAGCATATCATTTAGTTCCACAATTAATTCATTCCATCATTCATCTACCAACAAGCATAGTAGACTCATAACTCATGGCCGATTGGATCGACCTGCTCTGATACCACTAAATGTGACACCCTCTACCCCACATACATAATACACGATAAATATAAATATAAAGTAAAATTCTTGAGTAAATAAAACTTTCTTAAAAAAGTAAGGTTTTAGAACACATAGATAGAGAGTTCACATTCATATTTCGCAAATTGTAGTCCAATGCGAATATAATGACAAAATAAAACATCAATCTTTCCAAAACACAATAACAGTAATGAAACTCCAATGCTAAACCTAGCTAAGCCCCGATGTCACATATCCTATCACAGCATGCCCAACTGAAGCCTAAGACTCATCACCAATATCCTCATGTTGATGATCACCTGCAACACAATTTAAACACATACAAAGAACAACAAGAGAGTGAGAAATATCTCACTCGTTTCCAGGTGCAGAAATAAAGGTTAGATAGCA